CCCTCAGCCCTCCTCTGGCTGCCATGCCTCTGCGTGGGCCGAAGCAGCTCTGCATGACGGGGTGGCACTGGGGTTCGCTAGTGTAGCGCCCTGTGCCGGGCCTTGTTTTGGATTTTCAAAGTCTGCCGTGGCCTTGCATGTGAGAAGCAGCGTGGTCGCAGCTCACAGACGGCTCTGGGAGGGGTGGGGCACGCACACAGACAGCGGGCAGAGAGGGGGAGATGGACGGTGGGTATTTTGGAAGCCGTCCTTCGTGCAAACGATGCTTCCTACTCAGTTTGAAAGTATTTTGTCATTTTATAAAGCATCCATTGTAAGAACATCTGCGTCAGTCACTCTACGCGCATGAACAACAATTATAGTAATCCTGGCCCGATTGCCCTGAGGTATTAGCTGTTCTTACAAACAACCAAAGAGGGTGGAAATTTCAAGAGCTGCAGAAGAATAGGAGTCTAAATGATGCCATGGGTTTTAAACCTACAGCATTTTCAAATGCAGTTATCATCCTCTGTTATTTTCTGTGGCCTTGCAGATGGATTTTTGTCTGGTTTGACATGCGAGGATGGGTTTTCTTCTCCATTTTTGCTGTGTGCAAAATGGACGCAAACCAAGGAAGAAAGTGCCTGATGGTGGATGTGGGCCAGCGGCCACTGAGGTTAGTTGCAATCTTTCCATTGACCTCGGGTGGCTTGGAGCCTGGCCGTAAATGCCAAGGGATACAGCGAAGCACGTAATTTTATATCAAAGTGTTATCATATGCTTATAAAAATAGAAAAAAAATAGACATGTTTACTCCCCCGCCCCTCAAAATCTTTTCAGAATTACAACAATCGCAGCTGTCGCTTAGAAAGCTTGAATTTGTTGGGAGCGGATGAATCCAGGTACTGTTTGGGGTAGTAGTACCCGCCCGACTGCTGCTGCCTTGTGTTTCTAAATCCACCCCAGCCTGGTGATCCACCTGTGGGTCCACACCGGCCCCTGTGCCCTTGGTCCCGTCCCTGGAAAACTCCCCGTGGGAAGCACCTTCAGCTTCAGGGAAGACCTGAAGCGACACACAGCCCTGGGCCCAGCACAGCCGATGGGACCTTTGCTTTGGGGCAGTTTTAGTATTTCACAGTGGCGACAGCGCTCATCGCTGTCACGCAAAGCCCACTTCCCCGCTGCACCCCCAGCAGCTGCGGTGCTGCCTCTCCCTCCTCACCAACAGCTTTGTC